AATTAACAAACTTAGTCTATATAGAATAGATACACAGTCTTGTCTTTGTAAAAGTAGTTTGTCAGTACTGACACTCAAAAAAAAAAAAAAAAAAAGATAAAGAAAAGAAGGCTTTCCACTGCACTGTTTCTCAGTCTTTGGCACAATAAACAGAGATTTAGTGATTGATACAAGAATCAAGGTCTGAAAAATTAGACATATTAGTCAAACTTTTTCCAATGTGGATATATTTTATATATATATATATTTATATATATATTTATATATTGTGATTACATTTTCTCTCTGTTTGGCAGAACTTGGATAAACCAACAGCCTGTGCTAGGCTTCTTTTGCAGTTGAATGTTCCATCATTACTCAAATTAAACATTTTCAGATTAGCAAAATTTGGTAATTTTGCATTTGTCCTTAATGGAAATGTAATTCTTAATTTACTGCCACTCTTTGCCAATATCTGCCTTTTTGGGAGACATGCCTTCTGCAATCAATAAAAATGTACCTTGCTTGGTCAAAAATAGACTTCTGTTCTCAGTTTGTGGCATTAAAAGTTCTATCACTTTGTTTAATCACAGAAATACTCTGCACTGCTCAGGAGTACAGTAGTTCTCACTTCTAAAACGTCAGTAATTGCTTATTTACAGGTCTTCAATTATTCTTAACTATGACCAAAATGACTGTTGAAATGCATAACCTGTCTGGAGGGCAATAAATAGCAAAAGTTTAAAATATATATTTGTTTCAAAGAAGTGTTCTCTCAGTTTTCTTTTTTGCTAATTTTTTCAAATCACAACATATTCTTCTAATCCATAATAGCAGCAGGGAAGCAGAAGTCTTTGTTCTGCTCACTCCTTAACTGTACCTGCTTCATAGCATTCTAAGGAATATGTTTGGTAACAGTTACCAACCAATCAAATTAGCCTTTGCTTTTTCAGTCAACTTTCGGACTCTGCCTCTGCTAGACGTTCCAAAAGTTAAAGAGGTGTCTTCAAATAATAGCTGCCTTTGCTCTTCTTCAGAGTCATCTTCATTGTAAAAGGCTGTCCTCCTACCCTGGTTTCTAGTTCTCATGTGAGGTTCAGAATCTTTCAGTTCCTCAGACCCTTCTTCTTCTACAGGCTCATCCGTTTTTTTCCTCCTGCTTCTTGTCTGCATCTTAACATTTGCAGGGACTATAAGGTCTGAGTCTGGTTGACGTGTCTGTGTCTTTCTTTTTGGCTTTCTACCTCCACGGCCTTTTTTTTGTAATACAGCTTCCTTCACATTATTTTCAGAAAGAGAATTGCATGCACTAGAAACTGAGGGTTCTTCTATTACCATGTCCCTGGTGGTCTGGACTGAATTCTGCTCTGCATTCATCTGTTCAGCAATTTGTAACTTTTTTGGTTTTCTACCTCTTTTCTTGTGCACCACTTCACATGTACTGCTAATAGCCTCTATCTTCGGTTTCCGTGCAGGCCCTCTTTTAACTGGAGGTTTTGAAGGTTGCCCTCCATGTCCATTTACCTGAATGCTTCCTGATGCCAAAGCATTATTTTTGCAATCTGCTGTAAAGAAATAACAGAGTAATAATATGTAAGAGAAATCTACATTCTTTATTTCCCAATGGCCCCTGATAAAACTATTCCATTCACTATTTATAAAATACTGTTTGAGTGGATGACATACCGTAACTGCCTTCATCTGTGAAGGCCCAAATGTGGGACACGTGTGACAGAGACCCAAAAACTGAAGTAAAAACATTGTTCATGCAGGAAATTTAAAATGCTGCTGGACTCATTGCTTTAGTATAAGTAAGCTTTCTGTCACTATGGCTCCATGATTCTTTATTTCTGATGTAAATGGTTTTCAAAAATAAAAGTCTGGATGCCAAATTTGTGTGGAATGCAGGAATCTTTGGGACTAAAAGAAGTGATATCCTGGCAATGAGGAACATTTAAGAGGTGTGATATTCGTATTTGATATCCACGCCACCAATCCTGGGATTTTCTCTTGCTTCTGCTGTGTAACTGAAAACTTTTCCAGTTCAATAACATCTTTCAATTTAAACCAGTTACTCATTAACATCACTTCTCTTCTGATGCGGAGCAACTACATCTGTCCACGTCTTTGATAAATGGAGATTAAACCAGCACCTTGAGCATTCTTGCATTCACAAAGGTATACTGTTGCAGAATGTGTCCACCCCTTGTTAAACAGTACATCACAGTATGTTTACACAGTTGCCAGAGTTCTGCACTGACTTTTGGGTGTAATTTTAAGTTGTTGGTTTTGACCTATAAAACCCTAAAAAGGAATTTTTTCTATTGTAAAGGAAGCCATCTTACAGCAAAAAAACTTCAGGACCAGACTCCAAAGAGAAACTGCTGAGCTCCAGTTCATTTGCAAATTTGACACCATCAGATCAGGATTAAACAAAGACTGTGAATGGCTATCCAACTACATAAGCAGTTTCTCCTCCCTTGGTGTTCACACCTCAACTGCTAGCAGAGCACCTCACCCTCCCTGATTGTACTAACCTTGTTATCTCCATACTGATTTATACCTGCCTCTGGAAATTTCCATTACTTGCATTTGAAGAAGTGAGGTTCTTACCCACGAAAGCTTATGCTCCCAATACTTCTGTTAGTCTTAAAGGTGCCACAGGACCCTCTGTTGCTTTTTACAGATTCAGACTAACACGGCTACCCCTCTGATACTTGACACAATGTTTGCAATCTTCCCTCATAGGTAAGGCTACAATTTAGTCATGGGTATTTTTAATGAAAGTCATGGGTAATAAACAAAAATTCACTGCTCATGACCTGTCCATGACTTGTACTCTATACTCCTGACTAAATCTTAGCTGGGGGGGAAGAGAGGGGGAGAAAGGGCGCTGTGACAGGGGGCGCTGTGTGGGGCTGGGGGAGGTTGCTGCTCTGGTGGGGCGGGGGGCACTGAGCAGCGGCCAGTGTGGCTGGCTGTGGGGCTGCCCGAGTGACTAGCTGTGGAGCCGCTCCATCAGTGCCCAGTGTGGCTGTCCCCGGGGCCAGCTGCTTGGGCGGCCCTGGGACCAGCCACACCAGCTGCTGCAGAAGTCACGGAGATTGCGGAAGTCATGGCATCCGTGACAGATATGCCCTTGCTCCCCTCCTCCCCCGAGCCTCCTGCATGCCATGAAACAGCTGATCGGGAGGTGGGGGAGAGAGAGGGAGGCGCTGATCAGCAGGACTGATGGTGGATGGCAGGCGCTGGGAGCAGGGAGAAACTGATGGGGGGCTGCTGATGTATTACTGTGGCTCTTTGGCAATGTACATTGATAAATTCTGGCTCCTTCTCAGGCTCACATTGGCCACCCCTGGTCCAGATCACTTTGAATTATAATCCTATCCTCCAAAGCACTTGCAATCCCGCTCAGCTTGGTATTGCCTGAAAACTTTATAAGTGTACTGTTTATGCATTATCTAAATCACTGATGAAGATATTCAATAGAACTGGACCTTGTGAGACCCCACTTGATATGCTCTCCCAGCTTGACTGGATAACTACTCTCTGGGACCAGTTTTACAACCAGGTTGCACCTACCTTATAGGTTGTATTTTGCTAGTTTATGAGTAGGGCATGAGAGAGAGTATCAAAAGCCTTACTAAAGTCAATATATACCACATCTACCGCTTCCCCCCATCCACAAGGTTTGTTATTCTGTCAAAGAAAGCTATTAGGTTGGTATGACATGATCTGTTCTTGAAAAATCAATGCTGACTGTTAAACTTAACACCTTATTATCTTCTAGGTGTTCGCAAATTGATTGCTTAATTATTTGCTCCATTATCTTTCTGGATACTGAAGTTAAATTGATAGGTCTGTAATTCCCCAGGTTGTCCTTATTTCCTCTTTTATAGATGGGCACTATATTTGCCGTTTTCCAATCCTCTGGAATCTATCCCATCTTCCATGACTTTTCAAAGATAACTGCTAATGGCTCAGATATATCCTCAGTCAACTCCTTTAGTATTCTAGGATGTATTTCATCAGGTCCTGGTGACTTGGTAAGATGTGTAAGTAATTTTTAACTTGTTCTTTCCCTATTTTAGCCTCTGACCCTACCTCATTTTCACTGGCATTCACTATGTTAGACAGCCAAATGCTACTAACCTTTTTGATGAAAACTGAAACAAAAAAAGTCATTTAGCACTTCTGCCATTTCCACATTTTCTGTTATTGTTTTTTGGTTTTTTTTTAGATTACACCTCCTGGTATTACAATATTTCCCATTATCTCCAGATTATGGCACTCTGAGTCAGTAGTTTCAGATTCTGATTAAATATATTGGACAAAATGCTATTTAATTTGAGAATATAAACTACAAACTAAATTAAATCAACCATAAGACTTGAGTGCTGTTCTTCAGGAGGGATCTGTGCTTTACACTCTTAAGACTTGTCTACACAGGTACACCCAGAAAAATTAATTTGACTTAAATAAACGCATGAATTTGAAGTGGATTAGTTAAATTGCATTAACCCCTGTATGGACATTCTTATTCAGAATTAAATTTCGTTTAGCTTAATTTACAAAACAAATTTTAATTCTGAATAAGAGTGTTCACGTAGGGCCTAATGCAGTTTAACTAATCCACTTTAAAAATTAATTTGGATTAACTTTCTTTAGTGCCTCAGTATAGACATGCCCTATTTTTCTCTGATAAAAGTAACTGAATAAATTTCTTCAGATTTTAAGTTTTTTTTTAACATTGAACATATTTATAACATTGCTTATCTTAAAACATTCAGTAATACTTTATAATATACTGAAATCACATCAGAGTTATGCAACCCAATATTTGCAATTACAATTAATATAAACAGAAAGTTGACTATATGATGATGTAATTACAGTATAAATATTATGTTAATATACCCAGATTCTAAAAACACTTATATTAACTATGAAATCAAAGGGGTATTTTAATGGAGTAATTCAGTCATGTAGTTAATCTTCTGATTATGTGAATTAATGGTGGTTATTACAAACATTACCTTGCTGATTAATAGTGGATGATTTCATTTTACGCTTGATTTGTTTATCTTTCTCCACATTTTCTCTTGAAGAGTTATTCCTAGTGTTGTGGCTGTAACTGGATTGGCTAGGAATTGATAGAATATTCTGGTTCTTGGAATGTTTGGTGGAATTCTCCAGTACTAAAAAGAGACAAACATTGTATAAGCAATACTGAATCATTCATTATAATGGTTTATATTATTTTTGTAAATCTTATCTGGCTCAGCAGGAAGGTAATGGCTTTCAGTCACTACTGAGCTGTGCCAAATTTGAACCAATTACCTAGAGGGGAATGTCTCCATGTTCTGTTACCAAAATCTTGAGCCTTTCAGTCTCCCTCTTTGAGCTTTCCTGAGATTGTTAACTTGAATACACAGTACCTATTCCTAATCCTCATTGCAGTGCTAAGAAACAGCTACAAATATACTGTCTAAGAAACAGTAAACTTTTAAATTTAAAAAGCTGCAAAAATTATGAAAACCTACTTGTTTTCCCTGACACGGTAGTAGTATTAGGTTTTGAAATTAAAGGTTTTCCTCCTGAAGAAGTGGATGGTTGCTCTGTAACAGCTGTATCTGTTATCCCCCTATTACTTCTAGTCCGCACCAAAGAGGAAGATTCAGCTGCTTTTCCATTCATCTGAGCAGCAATGTGTCTCAGTGCTGTTGAACGTACAGGAACTGATGATGATGAGGCGGCAGAGGTTTCTGCCTTCAACTGAGGTTTTATTAACCTTCTCTTCCTTTCAGGGCTGTAAACAGAAGCAAGATTTGTAATCTGGATGACCACATTTAATATTCTACAGGGATAAATAAAGCAATATGCTAGGTAGTGTCTAAGATTGTGGGAGTAAAACAGTTGTTTCTATATAAAATACGTTAAAATATGACATTTACAGTGGAATTTCATTTAGTTGAGCCCCTGAAAAGTGAATCTTTAGTGAAGAATCACTGTAAAAGCTAGTTATATGACAAAGCATGATGCCATCACTATCCTAACAATGTGTTTTACTGTATGTTTAGCAGTTATTTGAATTTTAATCACTTACACCAGGATAGCTTTAATTAAAGTTTAAAAATCTTCCACATCATAGGGACTTGCATATCAAATATATCATTCTGCAATATAGGGAATAGTAAAGGAAGTATTAAAAAACACCACACCAAGTTCTATTATTTAGATATCTCAAACTTATATAGCATTTCGTATTATCTTATAGAAATTAATGTACCTTGATGCAGCACTACTGGAAACAGAACTGCTTCTTCTTCTTTTCCTCCTTCGTTTCTTCATTGTGTTTCTTTTATGAAAGCGCAGAGCAGATTTATAATCTGATAAAACAGAACTTATATGTTCCTCAAAGAAAGCAGAAAGGCGCAAACTCATGCTGTAAATCTATTAAAAAGAGAAACCAATGTATGGAATAAGCAAATAATACAAAAAATCTTTTAAGTTTTACAGTTTTCCAGTAGCATTTGTTTTTACTGAATATCTATAACAATATCTGTTTAGAAAACTACACACAGTAATATAGAGAAGAGATGTTTTAATGTCTAAGTAAGAATGAAATGAAATTTACAGTAGACTCCACAGATCTGTACTCTCGTGGGTCTAGCTTGAACCATCAAAGCAGTTTACCCAAAAGTGGGCCATGACCCTGTGAAAATATACAGATTGGCACAAAGGAAGAGGTTAGAAAGAGGTGCATGGCCCTTCTCCCCGAGTTTCTGACTTTCCAGACTACAGGCTCTGATGGAAAAGGGAACAAGTATCAACGTGCATCTGTGATGGGAATACATTTTGAGAACCATAGTAATCCAGTGCTAAGTAATTTAGTTTTTCCCACATTAAGTTGTGTCCATATATCCCCATAACAGAACATTACTCAGCAGTAGCAATCCACCCCAAGAGGAGAGAGAAAGTAGACTGCAAGCACTGCCACAACTCTAATTAACTGGACTACCTGGGTACCTTAGATATTTCCTTAGTCTTTACCCTTAAGCCTACAGAGAATTTGGATGATTCATGGAGAGACCTGGTCCTAGCCACCTAGCAGATGAGAGTTTGTTTCATATCCAATTAATAGAGTACCGTTGCCATAGATCTGGGAAAACAAACAAACAAATGGACTGGCTAGAGTATTTTTGGGGGGTGGGGGTGGGGGGGAGGAGGAATAAAGTGCCTGGAAAATGACAAATGAAGGCAGACATAACAGCTCACTAAAAGCACCAGTCAGTCAGTCAGTCCAGCACCTAGATTTTACAGTTAGGTGTGACAGTTGCCAAACACCTCACTAGAAGATACAAGTGAAGGAATCTCTTAAAACCCTGTTTTACAAATGGATAAAGATTGATGTCTGACCTGCTAGGAGATATAGACATAAGCAGCTATCAGGTATACTTTTCAGAGAAAAGTACAAGTAATCCAAAATGAGAGGTACTGAATGGGACTGAAATACCAATGAATGGCTGGAACCAGATTGGAAGCCACTTCCATTGTGACGTATATAGCTTGTGTATGGAGAAAAAAACGAACTCCACAAGCACCTGGAATAACCTTATCTGACAACCTTAAAATTACTGAAGATAAAAGCCTTTTACAATTTGAATTTCTAAATAAACTGATGAGAGATATGGAGGTAACAGCACTCCAGTTCCAGTGGATGACATAAGTAGGGAGGACTGAGGTTGTCTGCTAAGAAATTTGTCTCCTGTATTAGGACAACAGTAAATGAGAAGACTTGGAGGAGAATGCACCACACACGCGAATAAACCCTCAAGTACAGCATACTTGACTGCACTCCTCTTAAGTCTCAGAATTAGTTGTTAGTACTTAGCCCTTGATGAGCAGAAGAAAGGCCATTAGTAGCATGCTGTAGTTTGCATCACCAATACATTTATGTGCTGCCTTTACTTCCATAGGATTTCTCAAACCAGAAGACTAAGTACTTAAAGTGAAGGAAATTTTTTTTCAAGAGAAAATGTAGAGCAGACTTTCCAGACTACTGAGCCCCTTTCAGGAATCTGATTTGTCTTATGTACCCCCAAGTTTCACCTCACTTAAAAACTACTTGCTTACAAAATCAGACATAAAAATATGAGTGTCACAGCAGACTATTACTGAAAAAATGCTTACTTTCTCATTTTTACCATATAATTATACATTAATTGGAATATAAATATTGTACTTTCATTTCAGTGTATTGTATATAGAGCAGTATAAACAGGTCATTGTATGAAATTTTAGTTTGTACTGATTCTGCTAGTGCTTTTTATATAGCCTGTTGTAAAACTACGCAAATATCTAGATGAGCTGATGTACTCCCTGGTTGAGAACCACTGATATAGAGCTATCATCTCAGTGACCAGCAGCTCCAAAATCAGCTGACAGATGGAAAAAACAGGAAAATGCCACTTAGCAGTGTCAATGACCACCACTGAACAGTTCAGAATGTCACTGTCCTCTCCTAGGCTAACTAAAGTTCTGAGATTTGTGTAATTCCAAGTGTGGGGATTTCTGGAGGCAGTTTCAGTTATGGAGAAACAATTATTATCCTCTCACAAATATCAGTGAAATATTTTTTGTCACAGTGTGTCCAATCATATCCCATTTTCCACACATCCCTCCTTCCACACAATTTATCACTTTTTCAACCTTGTCTCAAATAGTTGTTCATTTACACCTCATCCCAAAGGTGATAACTGAAAATCCAAGATAGTAGCAGCACAGAACTTTCAAGCCTTTAATGACCAAAACACACTCTTCTTATTTATAATGTAGCTTGCTGAACATTCTTCCGTTTGTCTCATAATAGGAATAATATTTATGATGAAATAAGCATTTAAACTTTTTGGAGTTAAGAAATATCCCAGTTTTGTTTTAACATTTAATCTCTGACAAAAATCATTTACTATCTTGTGTGTTTCTGAGGTATGTGAACTTCCCTTAAATAAATACATATCAAGAATTTGGGTGAGTAAATTGTATATCCTTACCCTTGATCTTTTGCTTGGTGTGTAAGCTTTAGAGTTGCTGAAAATAAGTCTCACATCTTTACATAATTCCATTGGAGACTCATAATTGCCAGCTTCCAGAGTTTCTCTAACTGTAGCAAAATCCATCGGTGTGTCAATAATATCTCTGTAATCCTACAAAAATTATTAGCAAATCAACATGTAACAGAAATTATTTTTGTTGAGCCCAGCATCTCTCATTCAGTAGGACAAAATTACTTGTCAATTAGAATAGCTTTGCCCAATTCTATGTCAACTTTAAAAGTCTGCATAGAAGACCACAAAAGCATCTTTCAAGATCTATTCTAGGGAAGCACTGCCTTCTGATCTGAAAGAGGCAATGTTGCTCCTGGCAGAGTTGACCTTAAACTTGAGCATTTTAAAGAACATTGATACAAAGTCAACTCTATTTGGTAAATGAACAACTTCAACAACAAGAAAATTAAGAGCTCTATTTTAGTAAATTTCATACCCCTTCTGATATCTAAGATATGGATGTGCATCAGCCTCACTGAAAGCAGGAATGCAGTAGAAAGAGAACAATTTCAATTCTAATTTAAGGCAGTTATGAACAACAGGTGGGCATTTGTATCTCTCCCCCTACATTTTTTCCCTGGATGGCACAACAACTCCCAAAGTTTATCAAAAGCACCTAGAATTTCAGCACAGTTGCTTTTAAAAAATGAATTTGAATAAAAAATAATTTGGATGATGGTACTAGGCTACAGCTGATCCTTGAAAAGTCCTACTAGCCTCCAAAATGAAGGCCACACAAATTTAAGGGTCGGAACAGGGCTGGAAGCATGGCGCTCCCGCCCTGCCCCTGGTGGGGGCTGACCTGGTCCCTGCTGCTCCTCCCCTCTACTCCCCCCTCCGAATGTTCCTCTGCATGTCCATAAATGGGCGCACCCCACAATTTGGGTACCATTGCATTTAAAGCTAGATTACTCTCTTCTATAGAAATCTCATGCAAACAGAGAGCAGTATTCTCACTGACTATTTTATCCAGTGACAACTTTAGAAGGAAAATGTGAAAGAACATCTTATCAAATTAACAACCTGGAGAGAAGAGTAAACATGACTGACTGTTGGATTATTCAGGCAGAGGCTATGGTAAAAAATATAGCTATACAGAGGAGAAAACACCTAAAATACTATTATTACACAGAAGAAAACTATATTAAAGGACATTAGTGTTGCAGGGTCAAGCACTCAAAAGTCAGGAAGTGCCAGAATTAAGCTTGTCCCCCTTGTGCATATGCATTATGACACAGTCTTTAATTACATGATCACATACTAATTTTTCTACTGGACCTCTCCTCACTCAGTGCACAGGAGGAATGTTGTTCAGTCAATGAGCAGTTATTCTGGCTTTTTTAATTCTCGTAATTCAATTGTAGCCTACACGTTATTGACTGCACAGCATCCAAATTCTACACTGAGTACAGAATTATTAATTTCCCCACAAACTTTTCTATAACACTCATCACTGTAATATTTAAGTGATTCAAAAACTTTAATGAATTATTCTTTACAAAACCATTTGGAGATATGATGATGACGATATTGTTGTTTTACAGGGAACTGAAGCACTAAATTTGGGTGCCTAATTTGAGATGTCTAGGGTCTGAGTTTTTTCAGAGTACTTAGTATTTTTATAGTACTTTATACATTCTGAGCATAGCTATTATTGATCCCCGTAACAACAGTAAGTGCTCAGCACTTCTGCAAATCAAGCTCCTGATGTCTCAAATTGGGCAGCCAGAAAATGAGGTGCACACAGTTGGTAGTCAGCTCTGAAAAGTCTGGTTTAAGTGACTTGCCCAGCATCACATAGGAACTTTGTGGAAGAGGCAGGGATAGAATCTAGTACTCCAGCGTTCTAATTCAACTACATTAACCATGATACCTATCCTTTCTCTACCTGCAATCCCTGCCTCATTTACTACACATCTCTGAGGAGGGGGGAAGGAGGGGAAGTGTGTGACCTAGTTTTGTTTTAGTGTAAACTGCTACGTTTTTAAAAAAAGCAAACTGAAATAAAAATGAAGACCCATCATATTGAACGGTAGTGACTGTCACATACATCATCAGCAGGATTTGGACCATTAGATCCAAAGCACAGACCTCCACCACTCAAGTTAATCGGGTATTGGGAGCAGCAGTAGCAGGCTATCTTCTTGGTTGATCAGGCACTTAAGGGACAGGAAACACATAACTTGCTAATGTGTTTCACTGTTCTTACTGCCCCTGCCTGCATCTGTCTGTCTCAGACTGTCCATCCTTCTTGCTCAACTGCATTTGAGCAAGTCAGGCTGCTTTCTCCTCCTCCACCACATTTCCTGTACTTCAGCAGTGGAAGAACAGAGAACAGGGGACAGAGTCTCTGCTCTCAGTTCTGGTGCCAGGCAGGCACCACAATGGTCCCCAGCAGCCAGGATGAGAAATTTCAAGAAAAGTCCTGCTCATCCCCCTTCCTTCCCAGCAGTACTGGGATTAAGCATGCTTAGTCACTTTGTGGGGACAGTGTATGTTCGGTATGCAGGAGCCATGAGGGAATGCAGCATGCTCAGTGCAGACAATATCTTTGGAAAATAATGCTACCTGTCTCTAACAAACCTCTACTGAGTATGTGCACACTGCAATTTTCAGAAGTTTATAATATGACCAAACTTGGATGGATTTTCACAACGACAACACAAGGCACATCCTTGACACCAGGATTATCACCTGCCAAATTTTGTATTTTTCCCACAGCTTGTTCTCAGAAATAACCAAATGTTTGGGGTTTTTTTTGCTGAAACTTACAAAAGTCATTCAGCCTAAGGCAGACAACTGATATGGAAATTCTAGCCCCAACAGTTCGAGTTTGGCTAGGTTATAAGCTACTGAAAACAGGGTCTCATAAGCACAGCTGCCAACTCTGCCTATAATTAAAATATTGGCATGTAAAAAAATGCCAAAAAATAACCATTTTGCTTTGGTAAAAATCTAACTACCATATATACTCGTTCATTAGCCTGTTTGTTTATAAGTCAACCCCCCCAAGATGGTTAGGTAAAAATAGCAAAAACTGTACGACCCTTTCATAAGCTGACCATATATTTCAGGGGTTGGCAAACTTTGGCTCCCGTCCATCAGGGTAAGCTGATGGTGGGTCGGGACGTTTTGTTTATTTGCATTTCCCGCAGCTCCCATTGGCTGGGAATGGCAAACCATGGCCACAGGGAGCTGAGGGGCTCCATACCTGCAGACGCTCCAGGTAAACAAAACGACAATGTATTAGATATTCAATTCAATGATTCCATAGAGTTTAAAATCATCAAATTTTGGTGTAGACCCGTTTATATCTGGATATATTTAAGAGTAGGTTAGATAAATGTCTATCAGGGATGGTCTAAACAGTATTGGTCCTGCCATGAGGGCAGGGGACTGGACTCGATGACCTCTCGAGGTCCCTTTCAGTCCTAGAGTCTATGAATCTATGAGCCAACCCCTGCCTGATGCGTCACTTTTTTACCAAAAATATTTGGCCTATGAATGAATATATACGATATATAATTATCTCAAAAGCATGCATGCATGATCATGAGCTACCTTCAAATTATTAAGTTTATCCTGATTACTCCAGTTGACCAAAGGCTCAGGAATTGAGTCAGGTTTCCTAGATGAGACTAACACCACTATAGTGATTTTGATAAAAAACTGTTGAAAAAGATAGCTGCAACTCCCTCTCATCCCAAGTATGCAAACTATGATCAGTCTTGCCCCCACTAAAATACTCACTGGATATTCAAGGAGATCCACTGGTTGGCGAAAAGGTTCAGAGTCCTCACACTGAAAAATAAGATTTAACAACTCCTGGCATTGTCTTTTCCATGCCTGAACGTCATATGACTGTGCTCTGTTGCGCAGCCTCCGCTTGGGTTGATGATCCTGAAATGGCAATAGTGACTATTATACATTAATCAGCCTAGCTGTTTTCACAAATTAAAGAGTAAAGTGGTAAATGAAAATAATTAAGGTGTGAATCATTATTAGCAAACCAGTAATACATAATGGAACAGGTAAAAATGTTTTTAACATTACTGCTAATAAAGAAACTACAACTGTTAAAGTTGACTCATGGGGAAGATACATAATATTTTAAAGACTGGATTATGCCACCATAGAGCATTTCAGTTTTTAATGTTTCTTGTATAATCCTTTTATGGAACTATTCAGAGTGGTATAAATCACTGAAGCAAAGTAAGGGAAAATATTACCTTCCTTTTTCTAGTGGACGTCCCTGGCACGTTTGTATCTTTCTCTTCTTCCTTTGAGCAAAAAAAAATGAGTCGTACAACATTAAAATATAAACACATTTGAGAAATTGTTTCCTTACATACTGTATTTATACTTCCAGTTCTTTGTAGGTCTCTCTCTGTCCCTTTGGAAGATGCTCCACATAAGAACCCTGAGACCCTTCCTATTTTTTTCATCACATTTTCCTCTCAAACCCTCAAATTTCTGAAACATGATGATCACCATATATATATATTTTTAGCAGTTTAGGACTTCTCTGAGTTTGTAAATGTGGAGTGAAATTCACCCCCATACAGACAGTGTGCACAAAGTTTATGTACCATTGGATTGGAGGGTGGGGGGAATTTCACCCACTGTTCCTCAACTGGTTAGAATAGAGTTACCATACGTCCTCTTTTTCCCGGACATGTCCGGCTTTTCGGCTGTCAAACCCCCGTCCGGGGGGAACTGCCAAAAAGCCGAACATGTCCAGGAAAATGGCGGCTCTGCTCCTCCCCGACTCTTCGGCTCTGTTTAAGAGCCGGGCTGCCCGAGCGCTACCGGCTTCGGGCAGCCCC